ACCATATTCAACCACTTTGAAGAGGCACATGGTCAAACACACTGGTGGAAAACAATTTCCATGCAAAATTTGTAACAAAGGATTTACACACAAATCGAACCTTCATGCACATTTGAAAACACACACCAACGAATATCCGTTCAGTTGTTCGGTTTGTCTCAAGAGATTCGCACAAAATGAAGAAAGACTGTTGCACGAGAATGCTTGCAATGAGCGACACTTCGAATGCTACTTGTGCAAGAAGTTCTCTGCTCTGACTAAGTCCAAGTTGAAGATACACATGCGTATGCACACTGGTGACAGACCGTTTGAGTGCAGCCTATGCTCCAAGAGATTCACACGGAAGGATAATTTAAAGAATCATTCAAAAGCCCACACAAATCCACGCCCAGTAAAATTCCAATGTTCGGTTTGTGCTCGTAGCTTCTCTGACGAAGTGGGAAAGAAGTAGCATGAACTGAAGTGCACGAATCGACGTTACGATTGCTATCTGTGCTACTCGACGTTTCGTAAATCAGATATGAAGAGGCACATGCGAATTCATCACACGAAAAGTCAAACCATTCCGATGTGAAATGTGCAACGAATTCTTCGCACAGAAAGTCGAACTCACGCGACACATAAAATGCATCCGCAAATAATATAAGAAATTACACATGTGGTATAAGTCAGAAGTCCTTAACAGAACAACACTTCTAACTTCAATTGTTACTCTTTACCGTCAGAAGATATCGAAACATGGAATTTAAACAACCTTATATGCATACTGATTCATTCCATTCTGATGAAACAGCATGAATCTAACTCAATTCATAGCAAACCTGTTCAAGTTTATTCATAGATAGCACATACTCCAATAGTGTTCGACTTAATTGACGGTTTATTACTTTTTCAATTTCAAGAACAGAAGAAAAAAAACAATCGTTTTAAATCCTTATTGATTTTCTTATAAGTACACATAAAAAGACGATTAGATTTATACGAAGCAATTGAAATAAAACAGATCGGCTTTGCGTCGCTTATTGAAAGAGAAATGCTTCGATTATTTTAATTTATTTGCTATTCTGCTTCCCTTGTTTGGAAAGATGTCGATTTTGATTTGAATTTTCAGATTCTGCTGCATTTTTATGTAAGTTTATTCTCAGGCTGAACAAATTAATGATCATTCATCAAGTTTTCTTTAGACTAAAATGCATTTTTTTTATCTTTATTTGGTTTTATTTACTGAATACTGAAAACAATAGACATAATTGAAGATCAAAAACAATGGCTAGTTTTGGAGAGAAATGGAATGTTTGAACTGATTTCAAAATATTTTTGATCGATTTCTATTTGTCGGTTATAAAATGTTGGGATATTGCAACACGTTGCAACTTATTTACTAATTGATATAAAGTTCTTGAAATTAATATTCTAAAATGGTAGAAAAATAAGCGATGAAAAATAAAAATGAATGAAATATTTGATGAAAAACTAAGTGATAAGAACGTGGTGCATTGTCTTGGATTGAAATGGGTTACAATATTTGAACGCCGAAGTGAGCCTTTTGACTGATGCCTTTTACTTTTGATGCTTCGATTTTATGCATGGCTGATGTAAACAGACAGGAAGTTATCTTGGCCTTGTACCAAAACTCTGTCGATGGAATCTGGATAGAACTGTTTCGTTCCCTCGTAGCCTAGTAAAACTTTTATCATCAATCCGGCGTCAGCTGAAGCAAAAAAGTTCTTTGTGTTGACGCATGCGACAAATACCGGTCGATCTTTCGGTAGTTTCACCATGGGCTTCTTCTCTGCATCCACATCGCCAATTTCCAATACGCGTTCTTTGCCATGGCAAAGGCAACCGTCGTGTTCTTTCACTGCACATGAAAAAAGTCGAAGGTACTCTTCCTTTTGGACGGTGTCTGGTTCGAGGTTTTGAAACAAAATGGCCAATTTCAGCTGTTCCATTTTACGGAAATGTTCAGCACAAGTGGCCATTGCACTGAGACCGTTTCCTTCCACCGTCAGTATGTTCATTTTGACCAAAGTCAGGTGTTTCAATTGAACTAATTGATCCAAGATCAATTCGATGTCGTCGTAAGACTCGCGCGCAAATCCCAGGAGCGATAAATTTGGCAAATATTCAGCAATCACGGAGAATGTGCCATCATCAACGATCGTATCCAGTTGCAGGTCATCCAGTTGTGGATTCAATTCGATGAAACGGTGAAATTTTTCGCCAGTCTCTGTGTTACTGTCGATTTTGATAATTCTCAGTAACAAACTTGATAGGCTTGGCCAATGCTGAACCGTTGAACCCGAACACTCGCCGTCCCAAGACATCGAATGAAGGTCCAATTTTTCTAAATTTGGACAGAATTCCGGCAATGCATACAACACTGAAGCATTGGAATCGACATTCAGTGAAAGCGATTCCAGCCGCTGGAGCATGGGCGCCAAATCATCAAGTAGCTCGTGGGTAATCGTCTTGGCATCACAAATTGTCAGCTCCTTGAATCGTTCACCAACACAACTGCAAATGACTTGAATGGCCCGCTTCACGTATTCACCATCCGTAAGACAATTCACCTGGATGTCATTGGGTTGCATGTCAAAGACAATCTTATAATGGTTGACACGATTTTTGAACGGTCGGAAAGACTCAAACACATTCTTCAATCCCAATGGCCGGTGCAGATGAACAGTAAGCACCATTTGACCGCAATCACAAAACTCTTTCATCGAATCAGTAAAATTAACCTCTTTTTCGCAACACGGATATGTGGCTATTGCTTTGATTTTCTCAGGTGGAGTCACAACGACACCTGGTTGACGCCATGTGTCGGCAGGAAGCACCTTGATTGCTTTTGAACCACGTCGATTTGCCATGAAACCGTTGAAGGCATCTTCGCTACGGTCGAATGTAACATACGCCTCGTGAATGTCGGCTGTGCCGATCGCATTTGCACCAATCGATTCCTCGTTCACTGTGTGAACCGATTCAACCGTACCGTAGGACTCGAAATGCTGACGAATCAATTCGTTGCAAGCTGCTGCATCACCCTATTCGAAAACACATGAAACATTATACATTTTCATATTTGGGAATAGTTTTTTCCTTCATATTTTGCGAAAGACTTCCCTATCAAGAACGATTTCCTTATCGATAACTCAAAACTAGACAAATATCTCCGAAATACATACCTCGTACGGCCATTGCACAAACAATTTGCGAACAATGAAAAAGGATTTTTTGTCGTAGTCATCCGAAGCCTCAATCAAACTCCAATTGTAGTCATTCCAGATGAACAAATCCATGATCGTTGGTCGTATAAATGATCAATTTAGAAACACAAAGTACAGTCACGTCTAACTTTAGCGAAGGACAAATGACATTTGATCCAATTAGTGCGCAAAAAGCGGGATGTATTGATGCGAACAGCTAGCGACACCATCGACGCGGTGGCTGCAAAATGTATTTGTGATGTCGATGTCTGTGTTTGTGTGCGTGTGCAACACTGCTCTTTCTCTTAGCAGTGAACAACAACATTCGAACTTTTCCTAGTAAAAGAATGATTTCATGCATTCTGTTCGAATGTGTATCTACAACTGAGGAGGGAAAATGGAATCGTACGATTCGTATCGACCAATGAAATTCGTCGAATTTGCAACGAACGATCGAACAGAGAAAGAAAAATTCCGTAGACAAAACAACGAATTCGTTGCATTCTAAAATCGTGTGAGGTCTCACTGCAAGAGAAAAAATGAAATGCGAAAGCAGACTTTTTTTTATGAGCATTAAAGTCATTTTTTATTATGTTCAATTCATATCAAGTTCCATTTGTCTGGAATGATTGCAGATTTCAACTCCAAATCGAATTCTGCAATGAATCATTTGATCAGATTTGATCGAAAAATGTTATGAGTAAATTGACAAAAACTATTGGGCTAATCAACAACATTGTCAATGTTGAGACAACCTGTAAATGTCACTACGAATGCATTGTAATGTGCACTTATGCACTGGCAATGTAAACATACACGCTATGATTCCCATCCTTCAGCTCTTCGAATCGAATGATATTTGGAAATGATTTTTTCGTGTCGTCCAGCACGTTCCAAATGTCGCTTTCCAATGATTTGTCTTGCGATTTGCTTGGATTATTTGTGTTGATGACAATGACCAAAACGGGCACATCGTCTGGCACCACTTGGTCTGGTATAACGCCATCGAAGGCCAAGAGCCGTTGTTTGTTGTGGCATTCGCAGTTTCGATGCTCTGTAATCGGGAAACTGCTCAACATGGTGAAATTCTCTTTCTGGGCTGTGTTTGGCATGTAATTTTGCATCAATGTCACCAGTTTCATGTCTTTCATTTGTCCAAGGCGTTCTACCATAATGGAAATCTTTTCCAAATCCACTTTTTCGGCAATGTTGAATGTTATGCTAATCGATTCCAATAATTCGGCTTTGGTTAGATGTTCAAGGATCAAACTGAATCGGTAATAGTTCAATCGGCGGAATGACAACACTTTGATGTTCGCCAAATTGTCGACGATTCCTTTGAGCAGCTCGATGTCAATGATCGTGTCGAATAAAAGCATTTCCAATTGTGGATTGGATTCAATGAAGCGTCGGAATTTCTTTCCGTCTTCCGTGTAGCTTTTGACATCAAGCGTACGATTCATGAAGATCAATATGTGCAATGTCGGCCAATTTACGACTGGTTGGTCTTGATATTGACCATCCCAAGTGCCCAATAGACGTAACATTCGCATACGTGGACAGAATTCCGGCAATGCGTAGACCAAGTGGGCGTTCAGTCGATTTTCAACGATGAGCGAGACCAATGGCTTCAGCAATGGTGCCATGCAACGCAGCATTTCCATAGAAATCGAATTTTTGCTCACAATTGACATGGCTGAAAAGCTCTCGCCAACGCAGTTGCTGGCCATAACTTGAACCACCCGTTTTTCATACTCATCAATGGTCAGGCGGTTTTGATTGCTGTTTGCTTCGTCTGATTTCGATGAGAATTTGAGGATAAGATATTCCAGATCATCTTTGAGATTGCGAGCTATCAAAAGCCATTTTTTCAGCGAAAAATCCGCACCCATATCGACCAAAAGCTTCTTCTTCAGCTGGAATTGTTGTTCGTTCTTTATAAATAGTTGCGACATTGCCTCGTTCAATGCCAGGTTTTCTTCTTCCAAACTAGTCCGAGCTTTGCGAAAGCCCAGGCTGGCGTTGCTTAGGACATCGCCTTGACGCCATGAATCTGCTGGCAGAACAGTGATCGCTTCTTTTGGAAATTTACCATATTTTCGGTGCGCCATGAATGCTTGATAAGCACATTTGCTCTGCACAAAAGTGACGTACGCTTCAGAGAGCTCGGCTGCAGCCTCGTCTTGATAGTCAGCTGGATTAGTCAGCATTTCTACTGCTTTGATGGCACCATATTTCGCAAATTCTTCACGAATCAAGTCCTTCGTGTTCGCTGTGTTAGACTGGAAAAATGAATTTGGTGGTTTAGAAACAACGAATTAAATCATGGTGTTTGGAATCAGAAGGAAATCAAATGCAATTGTGACACAATCTCACCTTTTTCACCCACTGCACAAACAATTTGCGAACAACAGCGTAAACATCTTTATCAAATTTCATACGGACATCCACCAGCTTCCAATCTTGATCGTTCCATATAAATAAGCTCATTTTGTTGATGATGCAATGAGACCTTTAAGCGATTGTCCTTTTTTTACTCGTTTCCCAGAAATGAGTTTCAATCGATTGTGAAATACCTATTAGACTACCAACTAAAGTCTATCGCAAATGTCATGTCAGTGTGAACACATTCACATTGCGACTACAAGTGGATAGTGAAACTCACGCACTTATGGCTCAACACATGCAATGTGACAACACTTTTTCTTCCATTTCTGCGTATTCACTGTCTTACAATAGAAGTGCCTGTTTCATGAATTTGAAAAGACAAATTTCTCTGCCTTCTGAAAATCATAAAATTCTTTGAAAATAATGTCCAAGGGCCTTGAAAAAGACAACGATATTTTTTATTCAGACTACAGTCTCTTCGAAAATTCGCCAAAAATTCCCTAAGATAAAATACCTTTCGCCAAATGAACATCCAAACTGACTTTAAAATTATAAATTTCTACAAAAAAAACACCCAGTTTTACGAAAGGTTTTTATTGTAAGGTGATTTTTGTTTTCTTTTTGGTATTTCACTGCCATTTTACAATGTATTTTTTTCTTTCCGTCTTCAATGGAGTTTTCATAGATCTTTCTGAGGAGAAATTACGATCGATCGAAAGATGTAAATATTTGGAATGTTTCTGCAATTTTCGGAATCTGTTTTCAAGAAAATACGCCAATGGATTTGGGTTAATCGATTGAAGCTTTTGGAAAATTCTTTCAATTTTCTCACATGATATTAAATTCGATTCATATTTGATCCGCTGAGAATGAAAAGAGTATTCAATGCGCTGTTTTTATGCCCACCATTTTTAGCAAATTTCGCATCGAAATTCCTGCAAAGAGTGAAATCAAGCAAGAGCCTGTCATTTAGAGGAAGAATTCAACGACGATTTTCGCAATGAAAATGTTATGAATTCGGAATTATGTTCGAATTTGAATCTTTTATCCCAACTAAAAACTTTCCAGTTCACTACTTTTCTTTTAGGTTTCGCGAATTCTAATTCTAATTCTAATTGAAAAAAGTTATGGTTAATCGATTTAATGAATTAATCTAATCTTAAATTAAACTGTAGTCTGATTGGTTGTTACTGGTGTGATTCAAAGTGTGCTGGCAACATGAAGAAACACGAATCGCTCATCCTCTTGAATGACAGTTGATTTGTGCACGTTCGGATAGAACTTCTTCGCTGCTTTGAACATGATGAAAATGCGTGCTTCCAGTGTGTCGTCAGCCGATTTCAGGTCACCTGCCACAGAAATAAGAATGGCCAATGTGCGTTTGTCCTTCGGCAAAGTGATGGGATCGGTGCGATTGCCAAACGTGAGAAGTCGATTATCCTGGTCATGTGATGATACGTTACAGGGAAGTCTTTCAGGATGACCACTCTTTTCTCATCTCGAGAATATGTTTGCTGCAGCGTTGACAGTTCCAATCGTTTCATTTTGCTGAAACATTCGACGCAGGCAAGAAGCGATTTGAAATGGCATATTTTGAAGATCCATTTCGTGACCATGATTGTCTGCAAACGTTTCAATCGCACCAATTGATTGAACATTCCGCCAATGCCTTCGAAGGTTTCTCGACCGATGGTCAGTAGCTTGAGCTCTCGCAAACTTTTCGCAATCACCTTGAGCAATGAATTGTCGACCATAAAATCCATCTCCAATGATTCGATCTGTGGATTCAGTTTGATAAAGCGACGCAATCGCTTGCCATCGTCAGTATCACTCTCTACATCCAAAGAAATACCTCTGAGTACCAATCGGATGAGTGTTGGCCACGATTGAATTTCGGCATCCTCTCCATCTCCTTTCCATTCTTCACCCAGCAAATGGAGTGCCACCAAATTTGGACAGAATGTGCGCATCAAATACAGAATGTTGCAGTAGTCTGTGTCAATGGTCAGAGTTTGCAGTAACTTCAGTGTGGGCGCCAGACTGTTGAGCATTGCCTTTGGAATTCCACCAATTCCACGGATGGTTAGCTCTTGCAGTTTCGGTCCAGCTGCATTCATGCCAACGATTTCCATGAGTCGACTTTTAAAACTGCCTATGCTTACACCATCCTCGTCGGTCTCGGTGTAGAATCCATGACACATTCGCAGTTTCAAATTACCAATGAACGGCTTGATGTGCCGCAAATCTCGACGTACCTCGGCCAGAGTGGTGCCCCGTTTGAACTCCAGCTCGTATTCAACTACTGTGTGTTCACACATTATCTCAGTGCCACGCAATGACAACTCATCAAAAGCACATGTCAAGTCGGCCATCGGCTTCTCACATTTGTGGCTGCATTCGATGTAGGCTTTTGGTGTTTCACTCTTGTCTTCGTACTCCGGCTGATGCCATGTGTCGGCCGGTACAAAATGTATGAGGTTTTCTGGTACCATTTCACTCTTGAGCGTCTTGTAAGCGTCAATGCTTCGTTTGAATTGCACATAAGCCTCGTGTTTTACTGCCGCTTTGTTGCCGTAGCCATCAATGTGCGACGATGACTCTGCGTTCACTATTTCGACACTCTCTATTTCGCCAAAATCTTCAAACTCATCATGAATTTCCTCTCTTGCATCCGCTGTGCTCACCTAGAAATGCAAAGAAGAAAGTAATCGCTTGATTATTTCCGTTTTATGATTCGTAGTTTGGAAGGATTCATGATGTTCTATTGTGGTGTCAAACTAAAATTCAAGTTAGATGGACGAAAATTCAGACAATGGCTTACATTGTATCGCACAAACAATTTTCGAACGACAGTGAATCTCTTATTGTCGTATTCTTCACCCTCTTCGATTAATCGATAATTGCGATCGTCCCAAATGAATAACTTCATCGTTCTCTCTGTTTTCTTCTCTTTTTCAACTATGAAAGTTATGAATAATTCAACTTAAAAGTAAAATTAGCTCTGAACAACTACAAAAGTCACCACATCGTATAACAGTACACAAAGAACAATAGGCTTTGATTGCCAAGTGGAACGCGGAATGCGTTGTGAAGTGCAACGCAAGGTGCCACACCGCTTGTGATGCTGTCTCAATACACTAACACACTTGTTCGATTTTTTTTGTCAAGGGTTTGTGCTGATACAACTGTTTTACTCACTTATTCAGGCAACGCTGCACACAACCAAAAGAGTGGTTTGTTTATGATGCGCGATTTGTGAGTCACAAACAGCATCCCGTCAATATGAATTTGTTATTGAATTCCACCAAAGAATTGCGTGCTGCTGAATCTGATGTTTTCGCTCTGAATTCAGCATGCTGTCACCTTAAGGCTTGAGACAATGTAACGGGTTGACTTTCTGCATGATTTCTTTGTATGATTTTTGTTTATGTAATGAAGTATGTAAACTGGTCTTTGAATTGGAAATGTAGTCTCTGTATGATTGAAGTGAAATACGATTTATACACCGATGGAATGATGAACTTTTCAAACATTTTTATACATCCATCAAAAGTTTATGATGGGCTCAGTCTTCACTTTTTGAGAAAACTAAACAATTTCCATTTCAGCACAAATACTGAACTTATATGAATGAAATTCAATATAGCTAGCCAAGACTGAAGATGCAAGTGGCATCTTGCACAGTAATGAATTATGGTGCTTATCCGAAATAGAATGCCTACGATCAATTGCTGAGCTATACACTTACGAACCGTTAAGCATAAGCCAAGTTGGATTTTGAGAATATTTCATCACCGCCGTTTGAAATCTTAATATCATCCAACCGGTCCATCATTTTCAATGTTTCCTTTGGTTTTTTCAAATATTCGGCTCATTGTTCAATACGTGACATTTGACGTCAATGAGTCACGACGTGAGCGCCCCTTTCGCGAACCGACATGCCTTCGATAATCGAAGTTTATATACTGACAGGCCATCCACGGCATGTTTGTGATGTGAAAAGCACATTTTCATGAAACACGCGATTTTCATCGTGTCGCCATAAAAATCGCGTTAAATTCAAGTCATCTCACTCGATTTCAGCCAGAAAATTGTTTTATTGTAAATCTAGTTTTATTGTGAATCAAATTTTGACTCGATCGAGATATTATTTTTCATTTCGGTGCGAAATTTGGATTGAAAAATTAACAAATCAACCTTTTGTGTGGTTTTGTCTTTGGAATTTCATTCTGATTGAGAGGGATACGGGTAAATTATCTCAACGATTCGCATTTTTTTTATTGAATTTATTCCACAATTCAAGACTAACAATTGATCAATTCATTTCTCCAGCACTGGATTTTGGAATAATGAACAACCAACACAAAAGTGGACACGTTCCACTCAAACAAAAGCCAGCGGGTTGCACCGAGGCTATGGATAATATGTCTAATATTGTCGAGATAAAACAAGAGCTCACGATCAAAGAGGGACCAGAAAGTCACGACGAAGCACTTATGGTATCCATACTACAACATCGTTACCATGGTTCAGCAGCTGAACTTGGGGTCAACATAGCAAACAACGAACCGAGCATCGAAGATTTGTATTCTACGCATGTCAAACTAGAGCTCAAAGCTGAAGCTGAAGCCGAAATCAAAGTGGAAGAGAAGTCAAGGATAGGCAAGCAGTCAGATGGAAATGACACATCGAAGGAAAATGATAAGGTGGAACGACAGTTGATGAAAGGTGATGCGGTGCCAAGATCATCGATTGGAAAGTCGAAGAAAAAGGGCATTGATGTGAAAGGTAGAGCCAAAGCAGTGATCAATTCTGCACGTAGAAAACAGTCTGGATTAAAAAGATCAAGAAACAGCACAAGTGCCCAACATGTGGATATGTTACACCATATTCAACCACATTGAAGAGGCATATGGTCAAACACACTGGTGGAAAACCATTTCCATGCAACATTTGTAACAAACGATTCACACAAAAATCGAACCTTCATGCACATTTGAAAACACACACCAACGAATATCCATTCATTTGTTCGGTTTGTCTCAAGAGATTCGCACAGAACGATGAAAGACTGGTGCACGAGAATGTATGCGATGGTCGA